AAAAAAAAAAAAAAAAAAAAAAAAAATATATATATACACACACACACACACACACACACACACACACACACATATGTATATATATAAATGAAATTTGGATATGTGTTACAACATGGATGAACCTTTAAAATATTATGATATGTGAAATAAACCAGACACAAATAAGCCAGGCACCCTGTTAGACCCTTGTAGGACTTGCAGTTCTCACCTATTGGGAGTGGGTATGATTTCACTTATGTGAGATTCATAGATTAGTCAAGTTCATAAGGCAAAAATAGAATGATGGTTGGTGATTGCCAGCAGTTTTGGGGAGAAAGAATGGGAAGTCAGTGTTTAATGGGTATAGAGTTTCAGATGGGTTGATGAAAGGTTCTGGAGAGGAACGGTGGTGATGGTAGCCCAAAAGTGTGAATTTACTTTAATGTCATTTAATTTTACGCTTAAAAACAGTTTAAATGGTACATTTTATCACAGTAAAAAATAGTTTTTACTAAAGTGCTGGGCTCGGTGGCTTAGCCTGTAATCCCAGCACTTTAGGAGGCTGAGGCGAGTGGATTGCCTGAGCTTGCGGGTTTGAGACCAGCTCTGGCAACTTGGCAAGACCTCGTCTCTACAATAAATTTAAAGAATTAGTTGGACGTGGTAGCATGTGCCTGTAGTTCTGGCTACTTGGAAGGCTGAGGTGGAAGGATCGCCGGGGTCCAGTGGGTCGGTGCTGGGGTGGCCGTGAGTGTGCCACTGCACTCCAGCCTGGGTGACAGAGTGAGACTCCAACTCAAAATATATATTTAAGACATAGGGTTAGAATCTAGAAATAGAAGAGTGGACATTCTAGGCAGAGGTAATAATAGGTGCAGGTACTGAGGCAGGAATGTGCCTGGCATGCTCTGAGGATCAGCAAGGAGGCCAATGTGGCTGGAGCACAATGAAGAGAAAGCGGTGAGAGTGAATCATATATGGCCTTGTAGGATCTTGTAGTTCCTTGCAGTTCTCGCCTATTGGGAGGTGGGAAGTCACTGGGGGGATTTGAACAGAGGGTGATAAAATCTGACCTTGGTTAAAGCAGGATCATCCTGACATTCTTTAATCTGAGTCTTATCTGCAAATGGATGTAAGAAGCACCCCACCTCACAGGGTGACTGTGAGCATTAAAAGAGGTAATGTTGTTAAGGGTCTAACATGGTGCCTGGCACAGAGTAAGCTTCCAGTCAAAGGTAGATCTTACTGTGATGGAAATCCAAAGAAAGACAACAATCCCCTGAGGAGGAGTTTTGGAGGACTTAGTGGTGGAAATGGCAGTTCAATTAGAAGGTGAGGGCTTCATGGGGAGAAGGAACTGTGTGGCCAACAGCATATGAAGGAAAAGAAAGCCAGCAACCAGGCAGGGCAGGGCAGAGAAGGAGGAGGTGCGGTCAGCCCTGGCAGGTTACTAGAGTCGAGGTGATGGGAGACTTGAAGGTTTTGTAGCAAATGTCAAGATCTGGCCTGTGATGTCAGGACATTGAATTCCCATCCCTCAGCCTGGAGCTGGAAGAACTGAGCGGCAAGAGTGGTCAGGTCGCCGGGCTGGAGAAGCAGAGAACAATGAGGATGAGTTGGGGGTGACAGAGAGGAAGGTGGCAGAGGGGGTGCGTGGTCCCTCCGCAGTGGGGAGGATGCAGTTAACTGAGGAGCATTGAGCATCACCGTGGAGCCCAGCTCCGTGGCTCTCAGGAGCGCCCAGACAGTCCTATTTCTTCTAAGCCTGCAGAGAGACACTGCCTCGTCTAGTGCAACTGCCTGTGTAACGTTTCGGCTCCCACACGTCAGCGATTGGGTCTGTTTTCTACTCATCCCGAGCCAGCCTGGCACGGTGCCTGGCACCTAGGAGGCGCGGGCTGGCGGTTTGCAGAGCGGCTGAATGGGAGATGGAAACTGACAAGAGCCCGTCGCGCTGAGTCCCGAAGCACAAGAGGGACTGGAGGGCATTCTAACTTCAAGGGGGCAGGACCCGCGTGAGAAAAGGTCCTGCAGAGGCGCTCCCACCTACCCGTCGGTTTGCAGGATGTGCCGTCGGGTGGCGGCGGGCACAGCGCTCTACGGTTTATAGAGGGCGTTCACAACGAATCCCAGGTGGCCTCCTAGAGGAAGAAAACCAGGGCCAGCCCTCAGAACATGGGTGTGGAGTGCAGCGATGGCCCCGCTGCTCAGCCGGGAACACCGCATCCCCGGGGTCACAGCGGGTCTGCTGGTCCTCAGGAACCGATCCTGGGGAAGTGGGAGGCGCAGAGCGTCCGGCACTGATTGCCTATCCCTAGGGACCTCGCATACACTCGGCTGCAGCCCGGGGCGGAGGTCGCCAGGCGGGGCGTTGGGGTCCCCCGTCGCGGACACGCAACCCGCCCGCAGCGCACACCAGTTAGCGCCCAACT